CGGCGGGCGGCGGCCAATGGCGCCGCGCGGCCCCGCCCCTCCCGGGAGCTCCCGGGTCCCCTCTCCCGCCGGGGGGCGGCCAGCGGCCGCAGGGCCCTGCCCCGGGGGGGGCGGTGGCGTTTGGGGGGGAACCAGCCGCTTCCTAAAGGTTAAAAGAAGCAGTGAAAGAAAAGGGAGGTAGAATGTAGCCAGTAATGAAACAACTGAGTTTTGCACGCAGCTAGCCCCCTCCCCAGCCGCTGCAATCAGCACTTACACTCCCACCGCCTTTAAGGAGCGCAGGGCGAGGCACAGCCTGTCCTGTCCACATGCAAAAGGAGTATGATCATCGTGCATATTTTAACACCCCTACGCCAAAAATCATGCCGTATTATTAGTCTTGTCTAATTTTTCCTCTGTTCATCTTTCCAGTTATTCCAGTTCTGAAAACAGAAAGATGGATGGATTTACTTTCCCCTCAACTTCACTTACCAATGCTCAAGGCTCTAAAGATTCATTAAATTTGGATTAGAAGGCACCTAAGGGATGTTTAGGTGTTTGTTCCAAACCAACCAACCAACCACAGCATGGATTGACTGGAAATACATGGGAAGGACAAGCATCTCCCCACTTATTTCAGCAAACGTGATTTTTTGCACCAATGGTGAGCGTGCAAAGCAACATCTAGGCAAATCTCAGTGGAAGGGCAGAAGTTAATGAGAAACGTTGCCTACCGCGTGTGTCAGTTGCCTTCACACCCCGTCTGTTGTGTGTGCCAATTAATAGTTCCTCTTCCCGCTTTTAACCAGTTCTTTTAAGGCCACTGGGTACTACAGGCATGGTCTCTGAATGTCGTGCCGCTTCTTCACACCACAGGAGTGTGGTAACTTCACTTGACTTCCCTTCTTCCTGGAAAAGGAAAAAAAAAATAATTAACTGGTTTATCAGGCAAGTGCACAGATCATGCAAAGCCAGTGTCATCTCTGTGGATGGTGTCCTATTTACATTGAGCCGCTTGTCCCTTTTGTTTCAAGTTTACATTGCTGCTGAAATAATTTTCTGAAAAATAAGGCATTAATGAAATCCAGGAGCACAAAAAATCCCAGACATATAACTTTTCAAACCGTTCTAATACTTGTGGTTTCGACATTAAATATTCCAAATAGTCTTGACCCAGATATTCAAACCTTGGCTTGCTAGTTGGCCTCACTGATGACAAATGGTTCTGTGCCTGGAAAGGCTAGATAATGCTTTTTTAGAAAAGAGCTATTTACTCTGGATCTTGCAACATTAGACAGCTGTTCTACAAGATCCAGTGCAGTCTTTGTGAAATGCAAGTCAACTATGGTGCGAGTGATTCACTAGACTGAGCAGAGGGCTACAATCCAGAAAGTTCAGACTGTTTACTGCACTGCCATCTTCTCAATTGAACAGTGATGCCTTCAAGTGTCTGTCACGCATAAAGCCCCAAGCACTTAAAAAAAGTCTTGTACAGACAATTTCTGCTATATCTACAAATACACTTCCATGAAGTCTGCCCACAGAGTTTTCTGTAGAGTTGTAATCCTTGACTTCAAATTTCCTTTCAATTTTGTGTTTTAATGCCTCCAAATACAACATCAGTATTTAGCAACGGGAGTAGAGAGATCTCAATCAGTAATTATCAACATATTTCAGGTTATAGTTGACCAACTTGCATCATACTCATGTTCTTGTCATGCACGGTGTTGTTACGGATAGGGTATGCAATACAGAACTTGTCTTGAAACATCTTAAAGAAATGTTTTTATAGCCTACATGGCAGTGAAAAAACCCCAGACTTTAAATATAATTTTAATTTTCAATTTCCTTATCTTTAGATTCTCTTCCCACCCCCCTTCACAAAGCAACAAATGTTCTATTATTTCCCCCCCCCAGGCTATTGTTACATGTGTTCTCAGTATAACAAAAGGGTTTTGTATAAAAGGGCTGTATCTGAGTCATGTCTTCACATGTGAAACAGCTGTACACCTAGGGCACATTCTTGGCCATTTGAAAATGTGTCATTTTCAGCATTCTGGGTTTACGTTATTTTAGCCCTGTGCCACTGCGGTGATCAGAGGAAAGGAACTAATGCTCAAGTAGTCCATGTATCTGCAGACATCACGGAACTGTGGCAGCAGACCCAGACAGAGGGAGAAAGAACACACAAGTGGAAATGCCACGTGATGGATGTTTCGCCTGAAGTACAAAAAGCTGGTCGGAAAAAAAAAAATCAAGTTAGTAAATCTAAAGGACGATGATCCAGAACACAGAATGCTCACAGCAACTTGCGAGTGTGACACAATGGCAACATCTACAAACCAAATCAGCTCTGGGTAGTTAATGCACAAGAACATTTTGTAATGAATACAGAGTAACATGAGGACCTCTCATGAGTATTTCTTTTCTTAAAGAAAAAAAAAAAATACATTCAAAACTGTGTGAGCAAGAGTAGAGAGAATAATGGTCACTCTACACAGCACGGTCATTCCTTTATCAATGTGCTGCCTACTGTCATCCAAATAAAAGGCTTTAGAACATCTTGTGTATGAAAAATCTCATGACAGTCTCCTAAGTAGTCACTACAGGAAAGCCAGTTTGGATTATAACATTCAAAAAATAGCTTATCTGGAATTAACAAAACTTTCATCTCCCATTTTAAGTCCTTCCTTCACCTGTACTAGAAAAAAATATGTCCCTAGTAGCCTAAGGCAGTAAGCTGTTAGCATGTGGGGGACAGAATCTCTTGTTAGTCACTGAAATTTAAGAGGTGTTAATAACCAAATGAGTCATTTTGGTGTGACTATTTCAAGCCATATGTTTAGACAAAATAAATTACAACCACCAGGTTTAACTGTCAAAGCCTATGCTTAATCTCCTAAAAAAGAAATACTAAGAGATTTCCAAGGAATTTTATATGCTAAAAGTACGTTCACTATGTCTATACATGATTTCATGTGCTAGGTTAAGGTACTACAACACATATAAATGACGTGATAGACAAGATGTGGTATGTGGACGGCACGGTCCTGTAACACTCTCACCTGATAAATAAAAGCATCTCTGCAGGTGTGAGACCACTCTGTGAAACCAGGATGGCCGTCGCCACGAGGGCCTCTCAGGGTGCACCGATAAAGAGCTAATGGCAGGGTGCAAGACTCAGCGTAACACACCAGCTCAATTTTGTGAGCTTAACATTGCCTCAAAGGTGTTCTCTACAGTACATGGGTGTCTTTTCCTGCGCTTGCACCAGCGTGTGTGTCTATAATAAGCTTCTCTTTGTTTCTCACACTGGCTCCGGTGAAGGGGGAGGCAGCGGGACATAATGGACTGAGTGACATTCAGTACCAGACTGCAAATGCAGATGTCAGACAAAACGGATGCTGAATTTGGCTAATGAAGCTACAGCCTGCAGCAGGAACAAGCAGCTTTTAACAGTGCTTTGCTAAACCAAGTTATTTAATATCTGTAAAACTCAGTGGAAAAGTTCTCTGAGAACTTACAGCATATGTAGAGGAGCCAGAGAGGCAAACCCCTCTGCTATCTACAGCAGCACCTCAAAGAGCCAGCAGCACTGATACCCAAATATTCACCATCCTGGCCTTTCACTCTCCTGGTCCCCCTACCGAATTCGGTGTCTCTCGCTTTGAAATTTTCAACCCAACTTAAATGACGTAAAGCCACTTGAAATAGAGGGCCTCTTCCTCAGCCTCCCTGACCTCCCCTGGCCGCTGTACCACACCAGAAGCACCAGCATGACAGCTGATTCACCCAGCAGGGCAGACCCAGCCCTACTGGGAGTGAGTGGGCTCAGCTCCTTCCCCTTTTCCCCGCTCAGGCAAGCTGCGGGAGCCGGCATGAAGCAACAGGTCCGAGCTGGAAAGGGGCCTTAACCCACCAAAAGTTTCCTTCTGGAGCACCGGCTTTGCTTGTGATCCCACAGAGCACCACTGCTTCTCTTGGGCTCCCTAAATCTGGGGGAACTGGAAAGGAGAGTCCTTCTGTACTGAGGCTGCAAGTGTGCAGTCAGAGTTGGGAGCTGAACCCTCCTATCCTATGCCGTAAATCCACACCTAGAAGGCACATCGTCATAGTGCTTCCAAATCACAGAAACTCCATGATTCGGAGGGGAACTGGAAAGGAGAGTCCTTCTGTACTAAGGCTGCAAGTGTGCAGTCAGAGTTTGATTCAGGGCTCTGAGGCAGATACTTTTAAATGGTGGCATTCTTGATTGATTTATGCCAAATTCTATTGCAATAGAGCAGCATATTTTCTTTGATATCACTTATCTGTAGAGAAACTGGTTGAAAGTAGTTAATTGTCACCATACTACAGCAAATGGATGTGTAGTTACTTATTTTCTGCATCTGCTCATGGCAAACAGGGGCTTCTGGGTGTGGGCGCACTTTCCAAGATACTTTGTTCATGAGGCACGTGGACATCCATCTTATATCAGCCAGAGAAGATCAAAAAAACTGCTCCCAATTAGGAAGAGTTTACAAAGATCAACAGCATCCTGAAGCAGACATCTGACTTTGTTGCTACGTTCTCTCTTTATATAATAAATATCTCTACATAGTTCCTCATTTGTCCAATTTCCAAACACAGACTTTGCAAAAATAGTTCCATTCATCAATACAAAAGAACTTCTTTCATCAAAAAGCATCTTGAATAGCTAGTGCCTAATAGAATCAGGGCTTCTGTCCACATGTAACCTCACACACCACACAGGCAAGTCTCCCGTCGGCTATTATCTCCTCTGCCCACTTTATGGGTCTGACCTCATACCCAATATTAACACATTTTTGTAATAAAAAGCAGCACTGGCTTGTTAGAATTGCCAGATTTCAGATGAGGCACTGAGTTCCCTTGTGTTATTTCTGCTGAGTTTTCTAATCAAATATAAAGATCCCATGACACATTTTGACAAAAAGTAGGGCACAGCCGGCTTATTTATTCTTTTACTAAAAATAGGCTTCAATGTCCAGCAGGTTGTAATGTGTTAGATAGAAGCGTAATAGCTGCTCTACCTGCCTCGATACAGCTATACTACCAGTTCATCTCTGCCATATGCTAATTAGGAAGAGCAAGCATCAGGCTTCACAATTACATTAGTAGCTCCATTTTGTTAAAATGCTTACTAGGATTAGACTGTCCAACAATTGACGAGGCAATAAAATACCTTCTCATCCTTCCAGGAGCAGTTTCTGACACCCTTCCAAGCTCAGCGCAGCATGTTTCACATCTCTTGGGTTAATGGTGTATTACTGTTCTCAGCCAGAGGCAAAGACTAGGAAGAGATTTCATTACAGGAACTGGAACACAAATGGTTTAAAGAAGCCTGTACCTCTCCCACCTTCTTTGCAGATTAATTTTCTAGCTGGCCTTTTAGTTAAGGCTATTCTGCTAACAGAACAGGTATAACAACTGTGAAAAAGAATAATGATCACGTAGACTATTGAGTCTATCATGCTTTTTAATGACTATGGATATGAAATACACTATATTATTTCTGAATTTGGCCTCTCAGCAGACTTTCAATGGATGCTTTGTCAAGTTTGTTTAGAGAAGCTTATTGTCCAGTCACAATGGTGTAAGGCAGGGTTAGCAAGACTTGATTTTGTGAAGAACTGCCATAAGACAGAAAACACAGAGTCATCAGCCCCTAAATTACACCGATGTAGTTACCCTTTGAGTCAAATGCATTTAATGTGTACCTGCAGTCCACAGTGAGCATCACTTCTGAATCTGGGTATGTGCCATTTGCAAACCATGAAAGATTTGCTCAAAAACAAATACTTCTTTATCTCGCAAAAGTTATAGGTCTTGTGCAAACCAAAGAAAGAGATAAAAGCAAGTGTGATATATTATTGCTACCATAAAATACA